TGTGGGAAAGGCAGCAAGGTCAGGGAAGACGTACGGTAGCATGAGGCGGCTCAGTGCAGTAGTGGCAGGGGAAGAGTAGCGCGCAACTACAGCGTCGTACAAGGTCTGAGCACTCTTGTACTGACTAAAGTGCGCGCTCAGTGGTAGGCAGGTGGCGACGCACAGCAAGACGTTGCAGCAGCATCGCGGGTGGCCCACTGAGAGCGAACAGTGGGGTCAGCATGAGCAGCAGGGGCAGGAGAGGCGCCAGAGGTGAGGTCAAAGATTGAGAGACCGTCCGCCCTATTGCACTGTAAGAACAGCTGCAGGTCATCGACCCAGACCTCAAAGTTAATGGCTCGACCCTCAGCGTCAAAAGCGAGGACACTAGGGGTAGCCATGACAGCAGTAGACCAGTAGTGCAAGCAGTAGGGGAAGGGCACGCAGTGACAGAGGGGTTGTGCTCACCGGACAAGGCTGCTCGGGCGGCTCGGCTGCAGGGCAGCTCGGCGGCTCGGCTGCTGGGCGGCTCGGCTGCACGGCGGCTCGGCTGCACGGCGGCTTGGCTGGTGGGCGGCCGGGCGGCTCGGCTGCTGTGCGGCTCGGCTCGGCTCGGCTGCAGTGCGGCTCGGCGGCAGGGCGGCTCGGCGGCGGGGCGGCTCGGCTGCTCTGCTGCTGGGCGGCTCGGTTGTGCTACTGCAGGGCGGCGCGGCGGTTGGCGGCTCGGCGGGGCGAGGCGGCACGGGCGGCTCGGGCGGCGCTGTAGGAGTTTAGAGCGGAGGGGCCGTTGAGAAGGGCGGCGGGGCCGCTGGTAGAGCGGCGGGCCGCAGGAGAAGGGCGGCAGGGCCGCCGATGAGGGCGGCGGGGCCGCTGAAGCAGGGCGGCGGGGCCGCTGAGTAGGGCGGCGGGGCCGCAGGAGCAGGGCGGCGGGGCCACGGAGTAGGGCGGCGGGGCCGCTGAAGCAAGGCGGTGGGGCCGCAGAGTAGGGCGGCGGGGCCGCAGGAGTAGGGCGGCGGGGCCGCTGAGTAGGGCGGCGGGGCCGCAGGAGAAGGGCGGCGGGGCCGCTGTAGAAGGGCGGCGGGGCCGCGGAGTAGGGTGGCGGGGCCGCGAAAGCAGGCAGCGGGGCCGTGCTAACGGGCGGCGGGGCCGCGCGAACGGGCGGCGGGGCCGCGAATGCAGGTGGCGGGGCCGCGAATGCGGGCGGCGGGGGCCGCGCTAGCGAGCGGCGGGGCCGCGCGAAATGGGCGGCGGGGCCGCGAATGCGGGCGGCGGGGGCCGCGCGAACGGGCGGCGGGGCCGCGCTAACGGGTGGCGGGGCCGCTAGGGGAGGGTGGGGCCGCTAGGGCAGCTCGACGAGGTGAGAGCCCGGAGCGCGACTCAGGCGGAGCGCGCTCTTGGGCAGGAAAAAAAAAATCTCGATGTGGTGGGCCCTAGGCACAGTTCCCATGGGGGAACCTGCTCGATACCATGAGGAAAGTAGAACAAGAATGGATTGACTAAGGAATGAAGTGATACAAATATGCAACCCTAGCAATGTGTACCCCATATGGGCTACCCCACTATAGCCTACACAATATTATAACTTGACACCTAGTTCCACGCACACGTGCTTAGTTGGTAATTTTTACCTACCTAAAAGTTGTTGTTTTAGCTGTTCAGGTTGTTTTTAAACAACTTCTGTAATGCACGTTTTCGTAGTTACGGTGGTTTAATTTCGCCCAGGTCCATTTTGTGCAGGTGGTTTAATTTCGCCCCAGATTGAACACCCTAGTTCCGCGCAGTGTTCCCCAGGGTCAATTTCTCAATGTCCTGCAATGTTCCGAATTTCCCACGCAAAAGTTCCGAAACGATCGCACTTTTGCGTCGGTAGAAGACTCGGTCCTCTGCAGAATTTCGCTTCTGCAGATGCGCCATCCTCTGCAAATCGTAACTTCTGCAGATGCGCCCTCTGCAGCTCCACGTTCTGCTCGGTAGATTCGCCTTCGTCTGCAGCGAAACCCGTTTTCCCCTTCTTCGGGATGACTCTGCTGCAGAGTTCCGCGCTGACTTCTGCAGAATTCGCTTTGGCGAATTTCTTGTGAGAACTATGTTGTAGGCTGCAGTGGGGTAAACAATATGGGGTACAACTCATTTAGGTTTCCGTACGTGTACCCACCTGCTTGCTAGTTCATTCATTCCTCGTTCTTATTCTCACATGGTATTAGAGCAGAATCGTTCCTAGGGCCCACCAAACGTTCCGCCCTGCCCTAACTGATTTTTTTCTTATTTTGGCTCCCCTGCAGCCGCGCTGCCCTTGCAGCCCGCGTGCTGCCCCTGCGACCGTGCTGCCCTTGCAGCCATGTCTACCCCTGCAGCCCGTGGGCGCTGCCTTCGCAGCCGTGCCTGCCCGTGCAGCCCGTGGGCGCTGCCTCTGCAGCCGTGCCTGCCCCTGCAGCCCGTGGGCGCTGCCTCTGCAGCCGTGCCTACCTCTGCAGCCCGTGGGAGCTGCCTCTGCAGCCCGCGCGCCGCCCTTAACCCTGCTCGTCGCGACACCCCTGCGGGACCCGCGCGGCATCCCCCCTCTGCTCGTCGCGGCGCTCCCTGGGCACCGTCCCTGCTCGTCGCGGCGCCCCCGGGGCGTCGCCCCTGCTTGTCGCGGCGCCCCTTGGGCGCCGTCCCTGCTCGTCGCGACGCCCCCGGGGCGTCGCCCCTGCTCGTCGCAGCGCCCCCTGGGCGCCGTCCCTGCTCGTCGCGACGCCCCTCGGGGCGACGCCCTTGCTCGTCGCGGCGCCCCCTGGGCGACGTTCCTGCTCGTCGCAGCGCCCCCGGGGCGTCGCCCCTGCTCGTCGCGGCGCCCCTTGGGCGCCTTCCTTGCTCGTCGCGGCGCCCCCGGGGCGCCTTCCCTGCTCGTCGAGGCGCCCCCTGGGCGTCGCCCCTGCTCGTCGCGGCGCCACATGGGCGCCGTCCGTGCTTGTCGCCCCCGGGGCGTCGCCCCTGCTCGTCGCGGCGCCCCCCTGGGCGACGTCCCTGCTCGTCGTGACGCCCCCGCGACGTCGCCCCTGCTCGTCGCGGCGCCCCCTGGGCGCCGTCCCTGCTTGTCGCGGCGCCCTCGGGGCGTCGCCCCTGCTCATCGCGGCGCCCCCCTGGGCGCCGTCCCTGCTCATTACGGCGCCCCCCGGGGCGTCGCCCCTGCTGCAGCAGCTGCCGCGGAGCCCCCTACCGCCGTCGCGGCCCCGCCCTGCTGCAGCTGCCGCGGAGCCGCTTGCAGCAGTCGCGGTCCCGCCTTGCAGCAGCTGCAGTGGAGCCCCCTACCGCTGTCGCGGCCCCGCCCTGCAGCTGTCCCGGCCTCGTCGACGCTGCCGTCATGCGCCTACCCTGCTCGTCCGGCGAGCGACTGCCCTTCCCGCCACTGGTGAGCACTTGCTCTACCCGCGCTTCCCGCGCACGTGCCTTACTAGCGTGCTGCCGCGCTAGCCTGCCTGTCGCGCCTGCTTGCCAGCCGAGCCGCGCCGCCCAGCTGAGCCGAGCCGCCTTGCGGCGCCGAGCCGCCCAGCCGAGCCGTGCCGTGCTGCCAGGCTGTGCAGCCCAGCTCTACTGAGCCACACTGCCCTACCCGTGCTGCTACTGTTGTTTCTGCTGCTACTGCTGCTGCTACTGCTCCTACTGCTACTCCTGCTCCTGGCGGTGGCCAGATGCAGCTCCAGCGACGTCCGCGTGAGTCCCTCACGCCCCAGCAGCTTCGTGAGTGGTACGCGAGTTGGGGTTGTAGGGGTGGCCGCGCTGCTACTGCTGCTACTACTGTTATTGCTACTACTGCTACTACTGCTGCTACTACTGCTACTGCTGTTACTGCTGCTACTGCGGCTACTACTGCTACTGCTGCTCCTGGCTGTGTCCAGATGCAGCTCCAGCGACGTGCGCGTGAGTCCCTCACGCCCCTGTCAGAACATATATATAGCTTATGCTATTGTGTAGGCTGTAGTGGGGTATCCCATAGGGGGTACAACCCAACTAGGGTTTCCTATATGTACTCACTTCATTCATAGTTCATTCATTCTCGTTCTATTCTCCACATGGTATCGAGCAGGTTCCCCCGTGGGAACTGTGCTTAGGGCCCACCACTTTTTTTTAAACTTTTTTTCTGCCCGGAGCGCGCTCCGCGCCCTCGCTCTCACTCTTTCGGCCTGCCCTTCGGCCCCCTAGACGCCCGCGCGCCGCCCTTAGTCGCCCCGCGCGCGCCCGTTCAGGCCCCTAGCCGCCCGTGCGCCGCCCGTCCCGGCCCTTAGCCGCCCGCGCGCCGCCTGTCCCGGCCCCTAGCCGCTCGCGCGCCGCCCGTTCAGGCCCCTAGCCGCCCGCGCGCCGCCCGTTCAGGCCCCTAGCCGCCCGTGCGCCGCCCGTCCCGGCCCCTAGCTGCTCGCGCGCCGCCCGTTCAGGCCCCTAGCCGCCCGCACGCCGCCCGTCCTGGCCCCTAGCCGCCTGCGCGCCGCCCGTCCCGGCCCCTAGCCACCCGCGCGCGCCCGTCCCGGCCCCTAGCCGCCCGTGCGCGCCCCGTCCCGGCCCCTCACCGCTCGCGCGCCGCCCGACTCGGCCCATCGGCGCCAGGACACCGCCCGTCCTGGCCCCTCACCCGTCCCGGCCCTGCTCCCAGCCGCCCGTGCGCCTCCCGCCCCAGCCGTGCGCTGCCGTCCCGGCCTCACACCGCCCGTGCGCCGCCCGTCTCTGCTACACGCCGCCGTCCCGGCCCCCACGCCGCCCGTTAGCCGCCGTGCAACCTGAGCCGCCCGAGCCGTCTGCGCAGCTGAGGAGCCGAGCCGCACGAGCCGCCTGTGCCGCTGACTGCCCGAGCCGCCCGAGCCGCCTGAGCCGCCCGAGCCGCCCGAGCTGCCCGAGCCGCCCGAGCCGCCTGCACCGCCTGAGGAGCCGAGCCGCTGGTCCCGCGGAGCTGCTGTTGCTGCTGAGTCGGGTGAGCTGCTGTGTTGCTGTGCTGCTGTGCTACTGAGATGCCCGACCCGTCCTGTCTGGTGAGACCGTCGACTGCTGTCATGGCTACCCCTAGTGTCCTAGCTTTTGACGCTGAGGGTCGCGCCATTGACTTTGAGGTCTGGGTCGACGACCTGCAGCTGTTCTTACAGTGCGATAGAGCAGACGGCCTTTCTCTCTTTGACCTCACTTCTGGCGCCTCTCCTGCCCCTGCTGCTGATGCTGACCCCACTGTTCGCTCTCAGTAGGCCACTCGCGATGCTGCTGCACGTCTTGCTGTGCGTCGCCACCTCCCTACCTCTAAGCGCGCGCACTTTAGTCAGTACAAGAGTGCTCAGACCTTGTACGACGCTGTAGTTGCGCGCTACTCTTCCCCTGCCACTACTGCACTAAGCCGTCTCATGCTTCCCTACCTCTTTTCTGACCTCTCTGCCTTTCCCACTGTCGCTGACCTCATTACGCACCTCCACACTAGTGACACTCGCTACCGCGCCGCCCTTCCTGCTGAGTTCTGCGCCAAGAACCCCCCCCCCCATGTACATCACTCTCTACTACGTAGTCGCACGCCTCCCTGACTCTCTTCGCGTAGTCAGGGACCACTTTCTTGCAGTCTGTCCCACCACCCTCACTGTCGACCTCCTCGAGAAGGCCCTCCTAGTGGTGGAGAAGAGTATCGTCGCTGTAGGAGCTTCTCGTGGTGACCCTCGCACCCCCATCTTTGAGGGGTGCTCTCCTTCCCCCCTGCTGCCCTCTGTTGCCTCTGCTGCTGCTGCCGACCTGCTTGGTCTTGAGTCGGTCGGCGCGGCGTCTGCCCCTAGCGGGAGACGACGCTCTAGCAAGGGCAAGGGGGGCAAGGGTGCGGGTGGAGCTGGAGGGGGCGGTGGAGGTGGCGGTAGAGGCGGCGGAGGGAGTGGGGGTGGCGGCGGGAGTGGTGGAGGGGGTGGTGGTGGTGGTGGCAGCGGCGGCGGAGGCGGCGGTGGTGGCGGCAGCGGTGGTGGTGGTGGCAGCGGTGGAGGTGGAGGCGGCGGAGGAGGCGCAGGAGGAGGCGGTGGTGGCGGAGGGGGTGGAGCTGGTCGGGGAGGTACCTCGCAGCGGAGCGGCGCTGGTAGTGGTCAGCGCCAGCAGCAGCAGCAGCGTTCGCGGGACATCCCTCCGCCCCATCAGCTCCGTGAGTGGTACACTCGGCGTCAGAGGGGTGGGGGTGCTGGTCCGTGTACCTACGTCCTTCGTTCCGGCGACCGCGCGGGTGAGCAGTGTGAGGGTGCCCACCCTACCCAGCGCTGCTTTGGCCGCCTGACGGACGCTTGGCGTCAGCAGTTCCCCGAGGCTAGTGAGATTCCCCGCTGGGATGAGCTTCTTAGGGCTGGTGTAGCGATCTTTGATCTTGACTTTGATGCTATCCTTGCTGCTATGTATGCTGTGACTATTAGTGAGGAGGGTGACTGTTACCGGTGTTTCCCGCCCGACCCGGGCATTGGTACTGCTGCGCTAGGTGCTTGTGAGGCTGCTGCTCTAGGTGCCAGTGCGTCCGCGCTCTCAGGTACTGGTGAGACTGCGCTCTCAGGTACTGCGTCGCCTTCGTCCTCCCTCACCTTCACACTTGACTCCGGGGCTTCTCGCTCCTTCTTTCGAGACCGCACCACCCTCATGCCGCTTGGCTGGCCGGTTGCGGTCTCCCTGGCTGACCCCTCTGGGGGTCCTGTCATCTCTGTCCACCCGTGTCCGGCTGCCCCCTCGGGCACCCTGTCTGGTCTGTACCTTCCCTCGTTCTCGACGAACTTGGTGAGTGGTGCGGACCTACAGGATGCGGGGGTTCACCAGTTCACTCCTGCGAGTCAGCGGGTGACCCACTGCACGGACGCACGCACCGGCCGGCACCTGGCCACGTTCTCGCGTCGGCTGGGGTCGAGCCTCTACACCCTGACCACTGCGTCTCCTCCTGTCCCTGCGTCTGGTTTGGTAGCTGCATCAGGTCAGGTGTTTGCTGCTGCGTCGCGGTCTGGCCCTGAGTCTGCCCCCTGTTCGTGTCGCCTCCTGTCTCACGAGACCCTTCTGTGGCACCACCGTCTTGGCCACCCCTCCTTGCCCCGTCTTTGGGGCATGGTTTCCCGTGTCCTTGTCTCTGGTCTTCCCCAGTCTCTCCCTCCCCTTCCTTCGGGACCAGGACCTTCCTGTGTCCCCTGTGTCGAGGGGCGCCTCCGGGCTGCTCCTCACTCCTCCCAGTTTCCCCCGACGGAGGCTCCTCTGCAGACACTTCACATGGACGTGTGGGGCCCAGCCCCCGTCCGTGGGCAGGGTCACGAGCGCTAATTCCTGTTGGTGGTTGACGACTACTCGCGTTACACCACAGTCTTCCCCTTGCGCAGCAAGGGTGCTGTCACTGAGGTGCTGATCGACTGGATCCGCAAGGCTCGTCTCCAGCTCAGCAGGAGCTTCGGCTCGGACTTTCCTGTTCTGCGTCTGCACTCTGACGGAGGTGGGGAGTTCTCCTCTCGCCTTCTGCGAGACTACTGTCGTGCACGGGGGATCCGCCAGACCTTTACGCTTCTCGACTCTCCACAGCAAAATGGGATTGGTGAGTGCCGCATTGGCATGGTCATGGATGTCGCTCGTACGTCCATGATGCATGCGGCTGCCCCCCATTTTCTGTGGCCGTTTGCGGTACGGTACGCGGCGCATCAGCTCAACCTTCACCCCAGGGTCTCTCGGCCCGCGATGTCCCCAGCCTTGCTGTGGACGGGGAAGGTCGGCGATGCGTCTGCGTTCCGTGTCTGGGGATCTCGGGCGTTTGTTCGCGACTTGTCTACGGACAAGCTGTCCCCTCGTTCTGCTCCCTGTGTCTTCCTTGGCTTCCCCCCTGACGCTCCAGGGTGGAAGTTCTACCACCCCTCCTCTCGTCGTGTTCTGTCCTCCCAGGACGTCACGTTCGACGAGTCAGTCCCCTTCTACCGCCTCTTCCCCTACCGCACTCCTTCCCTCCCCCCGCCGCCGGACTTCCTTGTACCGGTTCCCCCCCCGCTAGACCCCTTTCCCCCTCAGGTTCCTGCCCCCTCAGGTGTGTCCCAGGTAGACGCAGTTGACCCGGTCGAGGTTACTGGTGACTCTGGTGCTGCTGCGGGTGCTGACTCTGAGGGTGCTGGGCCTGGGGGTGCTGAGCCGGGGGGTGCTGTGCCTAGAGCTGCTGAGCTAGGGAGTGCTGAGCCTGGGGGTGCTGAGTCTGGTGCTGCTGAGCCTGGGGGTGCTGAGTCTGGAGCTGCTGCACCTGGGGGTGCTGAGTCTGGAGCTGCTGAGCCTGGGGGTGCTGCGTCTGTTGCTGCTGAGCCTGGGGTTTCTCCTGGTGCTGCGTCTCGGCGGGAGCCCCTCTCTCCCAAGGAGCTGCGCGAGTGGTTTGCTCGCCGCTGGAGGCGTACTGCTGGAGCTGGAGCTTCTTCGATCGTCAAGGGTGCTGGTGCCGCCGGTCTCGGAGTTGCTGGGCCTGCGGGTCCTACAGGAGCTGGAGCTGCTCGGGGTGTTGGTGCTGAGACTACTGCTGTCTGTCCTGGCGGTGGTTTTGCTGCTGGTGCTGCTGGAGGTCCAACCGTTGGAGGTGTTGGTGGCGCTGGTGCTGCCGCTGAGGGTGCTGGTGCTGTCCCTGCTGCGTCTGGAGCTGCCGCGCGGCCTCGACCGTACTTCGTTCCGCTCCTGCAGCAGGTTCTTGGTCTTTCTCCTCCGGTAGAGTGTCCACAGCCTGTACAGTCACAGTCACTGTTGGAGCCCACCTCCCCACTGCCTTCTCCCTCCCCTTACACTGGTCCTACTGGAGGTCTTGCTGAGCGTCGTGAGCCTGCGTCTCGTGCCGCGTCGCCTGTTCGTGCTGCTCGCGCTAGTGGTCGTGGTTCGCGTCAGCGTCCTCCTCCTGTCCCTGGCACGCACCGGATGTCTCTGCGTCCGTCCACTGCTCCTCTGCGTGCCCCTTTGCCTTCTCCTCCCGAGTCTTCCCTTTCTGTGCTTACCGACCCAGAGTCGGACTCCCTTTGTGCTGCCAGTCCTACTGTCACGCGTCTGCTTGCTAGTGTCGTCACTGACCCCTCTTTTGAGTCCGCTGCTTCGTTTGCTCTTGTCGCTGAGCTCGTCGACTTTGCTGCTCGCTGTCGTCTAGACTACGCTGCTAGTCTTGTTGCTTAGTCTACGTCTGTCTGTCCTCCGTCCGTCGGGGGTGAGTGTGCTCTTGGCACGGACGTCCTAGAGGACAGGCAAGAGGAGTTACAGTGTCTGGCTGCTGCTTCACCTCATCTCGCGTCTGTACTACTTGCTCCTGAGGGAGACCCGGATGCACTAGACATCCCGACTCCGCGCTCTTACGCGGAGGCCGTAGAGGGTCCCTACTCCTCTCAGTGGCAGGCAGCTATGGATGCAGAGATGGCTTCCTGGAAGTCCACAGGCACCTACGTTGACGCGTTTCCCCTTCCTGGGGCGAACATCGTCAGTGGCATGTGGATCTTCAGGGTGAAGCGGCCGCCGGGCTCTCCACCTGTCTTCAAGGCGCGGTACATGGCTCGTGGCTTCAGTCAGCGGCAGGGAGTTGACTACTTTCAGACCTTCTCTCCCACCCTGAAGATGACCACTCTTCGGGTGCTGCTGCACATAGCCGCGCAGCGCGACTACGAGCTTCACTCTCTCGACTTCAGCACTGCGTTCTTGCAGGGTAGCCTGCACGAGGAGATCTGGCTGCGCCGTCCACCTGGCTTCACTGGGACTTTCCCTCCTGGCACCCAGTGGAGCCTCCGACGGCCAGTCTACTGTCTCCGCCAGGCACCGCGTGAGTGGCACGACACACTGAGGACTACGCTTGCGGCTCTTGGGTTTGCTCCTTCTACTGCTGACCCGTCGCTGTTTCTGCGCACCAACACTTCTCTGCCGCCGTTCTACATCCTCGTGTACGTCGACGACTTGGTCTTTGCCACAGCGGACACTGCTGGACTCGCCTACGTGAAGTCCGAGCTGCTGAAGAGACACACGTGCACAGACCTGGGTGAACTGCGCAGCTACCTTGGCTTGCAGATCACTCGGGACAGAGCACGCCGCACCATTACCTTGACTCAGTCACACATGGTGCAGCAGGTCCTTCAGCGCTTCGGCTTCACGTACTCCTTGCCTCAGGCCACTCCTCTGCCTACTCGCCACTCGCTCTCAGCTCTGCCTTCGGATGAGTCCGTAGAGTCGAGTGGCCCGTACCAAGAGCTTGTTGGCTGCTTCATGTACCTGATGACCTGCACACGAACTAACCTTGCATACCCTCTTAGCATTCTTGCACGCTATGTTGCTCCTGGGAGACACCGACCAGAGCACATGGCTGCAGCGAAGAGGGTATTGCGCTACCTGTGCAGTACGTCGGGCATGGGGCTAGTGCTTGGAGGGCGGAGTCCAGTGGTCCTTACAGGTCATGCGGACGCTTCTTGGGCTGACGACCAGGCTACGCAGCGGTCGTCACAGGGTTACACCTTCAGCCTTGGTTCCGGCTCTGTCTCGTGGCGGGCTACTCGCTCGTCGTCGGTTCTCAGCTCCAGTTGTGAGGCTGAGATCTACGCTGGGGCCATGGCTGCACAGGAGCTTCGCTGGCTCACCTACCTGCTGACTGACCTTGGAGAGCCGCCTCGTTCTCCCCCAGTGCTGTACGTAGACAACAAGGCCATGCTGGCCTCGTGTCGAGAGCAGCGTCTGGAGCACAGAACGAAGCACATTGCTCTTCGCTACTTCCTTGCTCGTGAGCTACAGCAGCGTGGACAGTTGCGGCTTGCGTACGTGGCCTCTGAGGCCAACACTGCTGATGTGTTCACCAAGGCACTCGCGCCTTGTGACCATCAGCGCTTCTGCACCCAGCTGGGGCTTGTACCTGTTTTGCCTCACTTGCTCTCCTCTTGACCTTACTTGTACTGTCAGATATATATACCTGCTCTTGCTTGTCCAGCTTTATATATATATGTGTCTGTACTCCTGCATGTGAACTAGCCTTTGGCCTTTGCTCTTGTGCTCGGACTGTGTGGTGACTTTGTGATCCACCCTGAGCTTTGCTTTGCTTTGCTTGACTGGTCTTGTGACCCCTTGTTCTCCCCCACTTTGCCTATGGGGGTGTGTCAGAACATATATATAGCTTATGCTATTGTGTAGGCTGTAGTGGGGTATCCCATAGGGGGTACAACCCAACTAGGGTATCCTATATGTACTCACTTCATTCATAGTTCATTCATTCTCGTTCTATTCTCCACAGCCCAAGCACCTTCGTGAGTGGTACGCTAGTTGGGGTTGTAGGGGTGGCCGTGGTGGGAGTCGCCCTGCGGGAGGCCGTTTAGAAGCTTCTTGTAGCTACCACGTGCAGCTGTAGCAGCGTCCGCGCGCGGTCTTTTTGCCCCAGCAGCATCGTGAGTGGTACGCTCAGAGTAGAGGGTCACGGAGTACTGCTCGCTGCCCGTACGTCATTCGCACTGGTGCTCAGGCTGGTCATCCTTGCGGGATAGTTGGTCACACACAATCCCGCTCCTTCGATAGTCTAAGCAACGCATGGCGTACAGAGTTTGGCAACGACGCTGAGCTCCCCTCCTGGCTGGAGCTGCTTAGGCAGAGGGCAGATATCTTTGCTCTTGACTATGATGCTATCCTCACTGCCATGTATGCATTGCCTATTAGTGCTGAGGGTGCCTGTTACCTGTGTGTGCCGCCTGACCCAGGTATAGAGTCGGCTGCTCTAGGTGCTGGTGAGGCTGCTGCTCTAGGTGCTGGTGCGTCTCCTACTCCAGGTGCCGGTGAGGCTGCTGCTCTAGGCGCTAGTGAGTCCACTGCTCTAGGTGCTGTTGCGTTTGCTCTCTTTGGTACTGCGCCTGCTGCGGCCTTGCACACTTTCACACTTGACTCGAGTGCTCCCCGCTCCCTCTTTCGCGACTGCACCACACTCTCGCCGCTTAGTCGGCCAGCGGCAGTCTCTTTGTTGACCCCTCTGGGGGTCCGGACCTTGCACACTCCTCCACGGTTCTGCCGTGTTCGGCGGTCCCGTCTGGCTCTCTGTCTGGCCTCCACCTCCCCTCGTTCTCCACGAACTTGGTTAGAGGAGCTGACCTTCAGGATGCGTGGGTTGACCGGTTCACTCCTGGAGGTCAGCGGGTGACCCAATGTTCGTGTACTCGGATGAACCGGCACCTGGCCACGTTTTCTTGTCAGCCTGGGTCGAGCCTGTACACTCTGACTACCGTGTCTCCTCCGGTTGCTGAGTTTGGTCAGGTAGCTGCGTCGGGTCAGATGTTTGCTGCAGCGTCCCGGAAAGTTCCTGAGTCTGCCCCCTGCTCGTGTCGCCTCATGTCTCACCAGACTCTCCTCTGGCACCACCGCCTTGGTCACCCCTCCCTACCTTGTCTCTAAGGCATGTCCTCCCGTGTCCTTGTCAATGGTCTTCCCCGGTCTCTCCCTCCCCTTCCCCCGGGGCCTGCCCTTACCTGCGTTCCTTGCGTCGAGGAACGGCAGCGCGCCGCTCCTCACTCCTCCGAGTTTCCTCCAAGGGAGCCTCCCCTGTAGACGCTTCACATGGACGTGTGGGGCCCACCCCGCGTCTGTGGCCTAGGTCACGAGCGCTACTTTCTGATGGTCGTTGACGACTACTCGCGTTACACCACAATCTTCCCCTTGCACTACAAGGGTGAGGTCACTAAGGTGCTGATCCACTGGATCCGCGCTGCCCGCCGTTAGCTCAGCGAGAGTTTCGGCTCAGACCTTCCTGTTCTGCGTCTGCACTCCGACAGAGGTGGAGAGTTTTCCTCCGACCTTCTGCAAGCTTTCTGTCGTGCGGAGGGCATCCGCCAGACGTTCACGCTTCCGGCCTCTCCGCAGCAAAATGGGATTGCTGAGCGCTGCATTGGCATGGTCATGGATGTCGCTCGTACGTCCATGATCCATGCGGTTGCTCCACATTTTCTGTGGCCGTTCGCGGTTCAGTACGCGACGCATCAGCTCAACCTCCACCCCCCCACACCCATTTTGCGGTGGACGGGGAAGGTGGGTGATGCGTCTGCGTTCCGTGTCTGGGGATCTCGAGCTTTTGTCCGCGACTTGTCTGCGGACAAGCTGTCTTCCTGTGCTGTTCCCTGCGTCTTCCTTGGCTTCCCCCCTAATGTGCCTGGTCGGCATTTTTACCACCCCACCTCGCGCCGTGTTCTGTCCTCTCAGGACGTCACGTATGACGAGTCGGTTCCTTACTACCGTCTCTTCCCCTACCGCAGTGCCCCCCTCCCCCCCCCCCCCGCCGCTCTTCCTCGCGCCAGGTCCTCCCCCGGTAGACCCCCTACCCCCTCAGGGTCCTGCCCCCTCAGAGGTGTCCCAGGTGGACGCAGTCGAGCCTGTCGAGGTTGCTGTTGACTTTGGTGCTGCTACCAGAGTCAACAGCTCAGTTGAGCCTGCGGGTGCTGGGTCTGGGGGTGCTGAGCTTGAGCGTTCGGAGCCTGGGGGTGTTGAGTCTGGGGGTGCTGAGCCTGGGGGTGCTCAGCCTGGGGTTGATGAGTCTGGTGGTGCAGAGACTGAGGGTGCTGGGCCTACTTATGTGGAGTCTTGCGGTGCTGAGCTTGGAGGTCCTTCGAGTGCTTTCACCCGGCGGGAGCCACTCTCTCCACAGCAGCTGCGCGAGTGGTTTTCTCGGCGCTGGAGCCGTGCTGCAGGAGCTGGTGGTTCTCCGAGCGCTGGAGGCCCTGCTGTTGCTGGAGGTCCTCCTGCTGCTGGAGCTGCTGGGGATTCTGGGGCCACGGGTCCCGGAGGTGCTCGTACTGGATATTCTGGAGCTGCTGGGCCTGGTGGTGCTGCTGGAGCTGGAGCTGCTTGAGGTGCTGGAGCTGGCGGTGCTGCTGGGGCAGGTGCTGCAGGACGTACTGGAGCTGGAGCTGGAGCTTCTGGTGGTCTTGCTGGAGCTGGAGCTGCTGGAGGTGCTGGAGCTGGAGGTGCTGCTGGAGCCGGTGCTGCTGGAGCTGGTGCTCCTGTGGGTGCTGGAGTTGGTGCTTCTGGTGCTGTTGGAGGTGCTGCAGGAGCTAGTAGTACTGCTGGAGTTGGAGCTGCCACTGGGGGTGCTGGTTCTGTCCGTGCTGGTTCTGGAGGCGCTGCACGGCCGCGGCCATACTACGTTCCGCTCCTTCAGCAGGTTCTTGGTCTTCCACCATCTACTGGTCCTGCTCCTTCCTTAGGGTGTCCACCGCCTGTCCAGTCGCAGTTACAGTAACAGCCCGCTTCCCCACTGCCTGCTCCTTCTCCTTACACTGGTCCGACCAGAGGTCATGCTGAGCGTCGTGAGCCTGCGTCTCGTCCTGCGTTGCCTATTCGTGCAGCTTGTCAAACATTATATATGTTATGCTTGTGTAGGCTACAGTGGGTTAGCCTATAGGGGGTACACAATTCTAGGGTTTCCTACTTGTACTCATTTTCACTGCTAGTTCACACATTCCTGTTCGCTTATTCTCACATGGTATAGAGCGGGTCCTTCTACGGACCGTTTTTTTTTGGGCCCACCGAAGCGCCCCCCGAGGCGCGATCTTTTTTTTAGCGACCCCTCGGGTCGCCATTTCCCCTGCGGCCCCGCCGCCTTCACTGACGCGGCCCCGCCGCCCTCTCTGTCGCGGCCCCGCCGCCTGCTCTCACGCGGCCCCGCCCCGGCTCCTTCGCGGCCCCGCTGCCTGCTCTCGCGCGGCCCCGCCCCGGCTTCTACGCGGCCCCGCCCCGGCTTTCACGCGGCCCCGCCGACGGCTTTGTCGCGGCCCCGCCCAGGCCCTTACGCGGCTCCGCCGCCTGCTCTCACGCGGCCCCGCCCCGGCTCCTTCGCGGCCCCGCTGCCTGCTCTCGCGCGGCCCCGCCCCGGCTTCTACGCGGCCCCGCCCCGGCTTTCACACGGCCCCGCCGACGGCTTTGTCGCGGCCCCGCCCAGGCCCTTACGCGGCTCCGCCGCCTGCTCTCACGCGGCCCCGCCCCGGCTCCTTCGCGGCCCCGCTGCCTGCTCTCGCGCGGCCCCGCCCCGGCTTCTACGCGGCCCCGCCCCGCAAGCGGCCCCCTCAGGTCGCCTCGACAGGCGACGGGAGAGGCCAGCAGAGGGGTGGCAGGTGTGTGGCCTCCCCTGCTTCTCCTCCTCCTTCATCTCCCACTGCAGCAGCCGAGCCGCCCCACCGCCGAGCCGCCCTGCACCCGAGCCGCCCAGCAGCCGAGCCGCCTTGCCGCCGAGCCGCCAGGTCGCTGAGCTGCTGAGCTGCAGTTGCTGCCGAGCCGCCCTGCCGCCGAGCCGCTGAGTCACCGAGCTGCTGAGCTGCAGTTGCTGCCGAGCCGCCTTGCCGCCGAGCCGCCCGAGTCGCCCGAGCCGCCGAGCTGCCGAGCCGCTGAGTCGCCGAGCCTACTCTTCCCACCACTGGTGAGCTCTTGCCCTGCTAGCACGCTGCGCGTCGCCTACTTGCCTGCCTGCCTGCCTTTTGGCTTGCCTGGCTGCCTGCCTCCCTGCTGCTAGTCCTGCTCCTGCTTCTACTTGCGGAGCCAAATGCAGCCCCAGCGACGCCGGCGTGAGTCCCTCACGCCCCAGCAGCTGCGTGAGTGGTACGCTGGTTGGGGCTGTAGGGGTGGCGACGCTACTCCTACTACCACTCCTGCTGCTTCTACTCGTGGTGGCGGCCAGATGCAGCTCCCGCGACCCTCTCGCGTGTCTCTCACGCCTCGCCAGCTTCGTGAGTGGTACGCTCAGAGTGGAGGGTCTCTCAGTGCTGTTCGCTGCTCTTACGTGATTCGCACTGGTACTCGGACTGGTCAGCCTTGTGGGACACGTAGTCATACACCGTCCCGCTGCTTCGCCCGTCTGAGCGACGCCTGGCGTACCGCGTTTGGCGACGAGGCTGAGCTTCCCGACTGGGTGGAGTTGCTTA